CGATCCCAACAGTCCACATAACGAGGATATGGGGACGTTTTACTCGGCGGGTAATGTTAGAAACAAAAGAAAAATGTATTTTACAAAAAAAATATATAAAAAATATCTTCTTTTTTTAATTAATTTGTAGGAAAATCTTTTTATGAAAAATTAAGGGGGAGTTGCAAATATGGCAAAAAAATTTAAGAAAATAACAAATTTAGCATCTACATTTTACATTTGCAAATATAGCAAAATTTTTAAAAAAAACGGAGGTCCAATAATAAAATATCAAATTTACCCTTGTAGCATTGATATACCATTGATATAGCACTGATATATATATATATATATATATATATATATCTGATATATACTTAATATACATCTGATTTACTACTGATATACAATTGATATATCATTTATATAACTATGATATCTACTAATATAACTTCTTATGTGATTATATTATTTACTATTTATTGATTTACMACTAATATATGTGTAATATATTATTGATATGTATTTGATATACCACTGATATAATACTTATATACAATTGATTTACTTCTGATATATCTATGATATCTACCAATATAACTTCTAATATGATTTACTACTAATATTAGTATGATATAACTATGATTTCTACTSATATAAGTTCTTATATGATTATATAATTTACCATCGATTTACCATGCTGATATAACACTTATATATTTGTGATATATACTTAATATGTCATTAATTTACCACTGATATAACTATGATATCTACTAATATAACTTCTCATATGATTATATGATTTACCACTAATATAACTTTGATGCATCTATGATATATACTTAATATGTCTCTAATTTACCATTGATATAACCATGAGATCTAGTGATATCTAACATTGATGCATCTGTAATCTACTGATATCTACTGATGTATATCAGATATTGGTTACAAATATATTCAGTATGTCACTAGATGTACATCAAATATACATCAGATATACATTGGATATATATCAGATAAGATAGACATAGGTATATCATTACAAATATATTTAGTATATCATAAATTGAGGTACATCAGATGTATATTAGATGTATAATACATACATCTAATGTATATCAGAGATACATTGGATGTACGTTAGATGTAGATCGGAAGTATATCAAAGATATATTGGACGTATATCAGATATACTTCCATCGTGCGTATATCAGATATACATCCATCGGACGTCTATTAGATATACATCCATCGGGCGTTTATCAGATATACATCCATCGGGCGTCTATCAGATATACATCTATCGGGCGTCTATCAGATATACATCGGGTGTATATCAAATATCATAAGGGTAAAACTGGAATAATAAAAATTCCGAAAATAAAATTTCAAATATTTTGCCATATTTGCAAAATACAAAAGTGGTTGACATTTTTGTAAATATGTATAAACGTTTAGCTACCCAATACAATTTCTCAAAAATTAATTAACGTTTTTAATGATTTTAATGTTAATTCATTAATTATATATAACGTTATAAAATGTTATTGGTTTATTTTACTATTTTTGAACCCTTCATAAAAATCTCTCCTTTTTGTGTCTCTAAAAATAGAGAAAATATATGTTTTTGTGGGCTTTGCTTTTTCAATTTGATTCTAGGTATGTTTTTCGATTCTTCTAACGAGTGTATGGTATGGTGTTAACCCACCAACTATAAACAATTTAGCACGTGGTAGTGTCGAAATTGACTTCATCTCACAGCACAGCAATTATTTTCATAAACTCTCGTTCTATTTCTCACAGGTAATGATCCGTTGTTCTATGGGCACCACGGGGTGCCAACGTGGACCGGATGTGGAGCATTTGGCAGAAGCTTGAGACGAAACGCAGAGATTACACCGATCCCGACTGGCTGGATTCCTCGTTCGTGTTGTACGATGAGAATAAAAACGCTGTTCGTATCAAAGTTCGTGATTGCGTGGACAGCGTCAACCTTGGATACGTTTACCAAGACGTGGACATTCCGTGGTTGAATACCAGGCAAATCCCTCGCCAGAATCCGCCCACCAGCTCCTCGCCGGAACCGCCACTGGCTCCCCCACCGGAGGTTTATTTTCCGGCGATGCTTAATTCGGAGATAAACACGGTGGTGGGGAGGCCGAGTAGATCGAGGACCATAGAGCAGAAGGGTGAGGAGGATGAGGTGCTGGTGATCGAGGATATTGAGTTCGATCGGAGTTCGAGGGTTCATTTTAATGTGCTGGTCAACGTTTTGGATGAAGGATTGGACGTGTCCCCCGCGAATATTGAGTTTGCGGGCAGCTTTAGAAACATCCCCCACGCTCACAACCACAACAATGCCAAGAATTCTTTACGTTTTGTGATAACGGAGCTGATTGAGGAGCTGGGTTTGGATGATGCTGAGACTTTGCATGTCAAGATTGCTCCCAAGCTTGGTGGGGAAAACGTCACCATTGGAGGGATTAAGATTGAGCTTCAGCCCATAAATTGAACTATATGAGTGTGTGTTTTGTGTTGTTTCTAAATTACAGTTCTGATCTTCTCATTTGTGTGTTTGAAAAATAATTGAGGGCTTTGTGTAATTTTTATACATATGATGCCCTTTAGTTTCTTGTAATGTAATATATATATATGCATGCAACAAATTCCCTAGTTTATGCTTGATCAATAAAATCATTACCTGTATTTGTGTTATCTTTTCCCACATGAGAATTTCAATGCAACATAAGTACCTAGTAATTCACTCTTAAAGCTTCAAAGTGTTTGACCATATTGCTTTAATTTGTAGATCTTTTTGAAATATATATTTGCAGCTTGGTGTGAACTTAACGTCCTCCGATTTATTTTAGTACAACAATATATGTGGTTGATGTTTATCCAAAAGTCGATCAAGGTCGCTCAAAAGAGAGACGCAGACGCTCGAGGTACCTGCAAGATAAGGTTAGCACTCCAACCGAGCTTCCACGAGTCAAAGTGAGAATTTCGGATACCTTGCATAGGAGGCTAAGGTGTCTATTTATAGGAATGAACTCCAACAGGGCTTCCAACAATGCTCTAACGACTCTGACAGCCTGGAAAACGTACCGTGTTGTTGGAAAATATCTTCGTTACCTTTGCACCCCTAGATGTTCTTCAAAGGTCAGCTCGTACCTAAGACAGGTCAGCCGAAAGCAGAAACAACTTGGCTAGGCTACATGACATCGAGCCAAGGAGACTTGTATTAGTCCCAAATTCTCCATTGAATAATTTTCCCATATGTCGATACATGGTAAGCGATAAGTAGCCTCCAACAAGTGAGGATTTGAACCCACAGACTTTTAACCGAAAATATAATTTATAGTTATAATATGAAGAAAAAA